GTGATGGACAGGTGTGTAGCTTACCTACAATCAGGTGCACGAGTTATTCGTCCCGTCACTTGTTATTATAAAAAAAAGTTAACCCACTTATACGTGCCATTGCCGAGCACGGGTGTCCAGTCCTCTAAAGCGAGGGCTTATGACATAGTCCACCACGCTGGACAAATATGGGATGGAGACTCCAGACGGTTTCCGAAGGTTGTGGACCTTCTTCAACGTGCAAGTTTTCTTCACCGTAAATTTTAAATTATATAATAAATGTTAGACAACACCACATACGTGGCTCTGATCCCAAAGTAAGTAGCCAAATCACTTGTGGTATGGAAATCGGAAACAACAACTCTACCACAAACACCCAGACCCGAGATAATATAGAAAAGTTAGTTTTTCTACACTGACCCGGCCGGGGATCGAATTCGGGTCCTCTACATGGGCAACCCAGCATTGTAGCCTAAAAGGGACCAATTTGCCTCATGAAAAATCATGTAGGTATCATATTATAAACTTAATGTTTTTATAGAGTATTTTTTTAATTTTATATTTATCATTCAATTACAGTTAATGGTCAAACGGCCGTCTTTGATGAGCTTAATAAGGATCATTGGAAAGCGCAGGCGCAATGGACTTTAAAATTAAAGGTAACTTTACTAATTATCTTGCTAACTAATATGACCTCAATTTAAAAAAAAATTATTATTGTTACGCTAGGCGAAAGCCCTCCCACTAGATCACCCGAGAAGACAGACTATCGTGGAAATTAACCGGTAGAACTCCGCTGCCCCCGCGGCGGAGAGGTGTCCTAGGAGGACTTTCCTACGAAAAAAAAACGCGAAATCTTACCAGTTCGGATCATCTTATACTGGTCATCAAATCAATGCAACGACTAGTAATAACGTATAAAGTGTAAGGGCTCATTCAGAGTGCAGGCGTGATGCAAGACGCTAGACCAAGCATTGTAAAAGGTACAGGCGAATCGAGCTAATATATCTAACGCGACACGCATGACCACTGTGAACGCAAGCGGGGTCTGCGTACATTTGATTTACACGCACCCACGCCGGCAACCGCACCCCTCTGAATAAGGGCAAAGGATATAGAAGGTTTTTGTCATCATCATCCTGGTTTGTTATTATTACTAATATAAAGGTCGTATACGAAGAAAATTCCGTCCGCTAAATAAAAAGTGACAAAATATTTTTTTGAGATATCATAAAAAACCTCTCTCTCTCTCTCATCTTAGCGTTGTCCCGGTTGCGTCCTCAGCAGGGTTGCTGCGGAGCCCGGGGTCCGCTTTCCTACTTTTTCTCCTCCACTTTGCACGGTCTTCGGCATCCTTAGTGGTGAGACCATTGGCACGCATATCACCCTTGGCGACGTCAAGCCAGCACTTCTTGGGTCTGCCCCTTCTACCGGGGCCCGGCGGAGGTGGCATAGCCAGACATTTGTTTCCCACGTAGCATGCCGGTTTCCGTAAGATGTGGCCGTACCAACGTAGGCGGCTTTCTTGCAGTTTATCTGCAATGTCACGGACATGAAGGCTGCCGCGGATGCGGGAGTTTCTGACACGGTCTTTCCGTGAAACTCCACACATCCAGCGCAGCATCTTCATTTCCGTGACACGCAGCTCCTGCTTATGACGCTCAAGTACGGGCCACGTTTCACTGCCATATAAAAGGACAGGCCTAATGATGGATTTATAGACCTGTCCTTTCAGCTTAACCGGCATCTTGGGGTCACAAATTACACCAGTCACCTCACGCCACTTTGCCCAAGCGGCTGCGATTCGGGCTCTGACGTCGCAGTCGATGTCTCCGGACGCGCTAAGTACAGATCCCAAGTATTTAAACTGGCCCGTAGGCTCGACCGCGTCTTCGCCTATGCGTACGGGTAGGGGATCTGTAGCGTTGCAGACCATGTACTCAGTCTTCGCCACATTTAGTCTCAGACCGCCGTTCTCAAGCGACTCCTTCCACACATTCACTCGTCGTACCAGTCTCCCTCTATCCGCATCCGCCAGCGCGATATCGTCAGCGTACATAAGCATCCACGGGGGTTGCTCATGCGTGTCTCGGATGGAGCTTGAGACCTCGTCTAATATCACGCTGAACAGATAGGGACTGAGAACTGAGCCCTGGTGAACTCCGACTGTGACAGGGAAGGGTTTAGTGTCACCAACAGCAGTCCTAACCATGGATTCGGAATCGCGGTACATGTCTCGGATGATGTCAATATAAGCTTCTGGTACCTCTTTGGATCTCAGTGCCCACCAGATCATTACACGGGGGATACAGTCGAAGGCCTTCTGCATGTCAAGAAACATGAAATGCAGAGGCGTATTCTTCAATCTGTATTTCTCCATGATGACCCTTAGGGCAAAAACAGGATCCATGGTCCCAAGACCAGGCCGAAACCCATATTGACCCTCCGAGACAGCACTCTCCTGTCGGATCCGAGAGTCTATTATACGCTCGAAGAGCTTCATGGTGTGGGACATGACCTTTATGCCCCGATAATCGCCACACTCCTGCACCGATCCCTTCCCTTTGAAGACTGGAGTGATAATACTCAGTCTCCATTGGTTAGGGATTTTACCGGTGAGGAGCACGCGATTAAAGAGGCCGGTAAGGATGCCCACACCACGGGGACCCATTGCCTTCCAGGCCTCGATGGGAACCCCATCGGCTCCGACAGCTTTCCGATTCTTCATGCGACGAAGAGCTAAGTGGACTTCCTCAGGCGTTACCGGTCGCACTAGTCCCTGATTCGGAGGGAGGACCGGTGGCTGCACCTCTCTGTGCTGCTGATTCAGCAGCTCGTGGAAATATGAGCGCCATCTCTCCTTCACCGCGTCGACCTCGCATATAAGGTTGCCATGAGGGTCTTTAATGCAGCGACACTTGGAAATATCTTGTGCCGCTAAGACCCTCGAACGTGCCAGCTTAAAGATAAGCTTCTGCCCCTCAGACGATTCCAACTTGTCATACAACGGCTGCAAGTGGTCCCGTCTGGCTCTGGCTACAGCTTTCTTAGCGGCACGTTTGGCATCCCTATATGCGTCGCGGTCTTCAGAAGATTCGGACGCTTGCCACGTTTTGAAGAGGGCTTTCTTCACCCTCACCTCCCTCTGGACTGTGTCGTTCCACCACCAAGTTTCTTTGTCACATTTGCGACCACCCTTGGACAAGCCCAGCACCGCTTTCGCCGCCTCAGATATGGCAGCCTGAATGTTGTCCCAGTGGTTCTGGACTAGATCACCTTCAGTGTCGGCGCATTTATCGCCGATCGCTGAGATGAACTCCTGGGACGTGGTACTATCAAGCCGCCACCATCTGATTTGGCGTCGGCAGCGCTCAGCGGGCTTGTCGGCCGGCTTTACGCAGAGATCCATGACAAGAAGACGGTGTTGCGCAGTGAGACTCTCACCTGGTATGACCTTGCAGTTGGCCACTTTGCTGATATGGTGTCTCCTGGTGAGTAGGAAATCGATTTGGGTGGCGTGTCCGCCGCTCTTATAGGTGATTAAATGCTCGGGGTTCTTTTTAAAGAACGTGTTCACGATGGCGAGATCGGCCGCCGCACACGTTGTGAGGATGTCTCCTCCCTCCGCGTTGCGACTGCCGTACCCGTAGCCACCGTGGACCCGCTCGAACCCTTCACACGCCTCACCCACATGACCGTTCAGGTCGCCACCCAAGACGACTGCCTGAGACAAAGGAATGGCACTCAGCACTTCCCCGAGTTGATCCCAGAACCTCGCCCTGTCCGTGTCGCTGCAACCGGCCTGAGGTGCGTAGGCGCCTATCAAGTGGGTCACGACCCCTTCGATAAGCACCCTCACTACCATAAGCCGGTCGCTAAAGCGTTTCACTTCCAGGACGTGATCGTGAAACTCCTCGGAGAGCACCACGGCCACCCCGTTCACGCCCCCAGGAGCACCGGTGTAGATCAGCTTGTAGCCATTCCCAATGAGCCGGGATCTGCTGCCTTTCCACCGAGTCTCCTGCAGGAACGCCACGGCGACCCTCCGCCTGGAAAGCACGTCTGCTAGCTCCCTCGCGCGTCCAGTCAGCGTGCCAATGTTCCACGTGGCAAAGCGGAGCTTCCTGTGATGGGTAGGGGCTCGCCTCTTTAACCGTGCCCACCCTTGACACGGTAGCCCTAGTCCACTTGCCACAGAAGTCGGGCGAGGCTCCTGCGCGCCGTTTTGCGGCGGCGCCCTATCCCTATGCCATATCCTTCTGTTGACTTCCATAAGTTGATGTGGCGGTGTTGGTTTTTACGGGAGCGACTGCCGTCTGACCTCCCAACCCCCGAAAGGGAAAACCCCTCGCTAGAGCCTCGTCCGTCTATCAGCAGGCGCACCACTTGCAGGTGAGGTTAGCTTGGGCTCCAAGATGTAGGTGGAGCCCCCAAAACGCCCAATATCATAAAAAACCATAACTCAGTTTTAGAATATTGTAATTGTTTAATGATATTTCAACTATGCATCGTTAGGGTAAGTTCCGCCAAGTCGAACATGTTAAATAATTTTAACTGTTTTTAAAGGAGAATTATGTGTTCTATTTTTTGCTATTGAAAACTGTTATTTGACCATTTGTCACTTAGCCACATTTTAGTTAATGGATGGCAGTTGTCTGGACCGGAACTAGTGTCTGTTGCCATGTTAGGGCCACCGCTCTTGCCAACTGAGCTACAGACCGAGTCAACAGACTTTACGAATTTCTCTATGTGTATTTTATAGACTTTAGTATTTTTCGCCGTCCACGCACCCGCGAGAGACTTATAAAATTACTCACTTGGCCAGGTACCCTTGTAATTACCAGAAGCATCAATAATAACAAATCAATGAAACATTTTCATAAAAAATATATGAAAAATCATGGTACAACCTTCATTTAAGAGCCATGCGTATAACCTTCCCATACTTCTCGATCCATAGCCAACTTATTGACTACTTTGTTGCTGTTCATTTTGATCCAGTTTTTATCGTGAGTCTAAAAATGTACTATTTACCATTGCTTTTCAAGCTGCACGCAGAACTGAACAAGAGAGTGGCAAAGAACCTCATCCTGTTCCTCGGTGACGGCATGAGCATCACGACACTCGCTGCGACCAGATCTTATCTCGGCCAGAAATATGGCCATTACGGGGAAGAAATCAAGCTGAGTTTCGAAGTTTTTCCTTTTACCGGATTGGCTAAGGTATTTATTACCTTTATTTAAGCATATTAATGTCCACTAGTACTAAATTAAGAACGTCGTAAACCCATGCTTAAATTGACAAGACACTCTTAACGCAATGTATTAAGAGTGTCTTTTGCTTAGCTTAAAACTCATTTAATTTTAGTGCAAATGGACACGAATGAAAATAACAAAGATGTGTAAATTTGCTTAAACGTGATGTTAAATAAAAAAGTACGCATATAATGTAAGTACGTAAAAGTGAGATTACTATACCACGAGCCTGCTATACGTATCACATTATGTCTTGTATTTTATTAAATTTACATAATTATTTTACATAACGAGTTCTATGAACTTGGTATTAATATTAATTTCAATATATTTGCATGCCTATAATAATTCAAAAGAACTTGGCCGTTCTTTAACATTATACTTTTGGTGAAATATTTCAGCATATTGTGGTACATTCATCAATATTTCAATACAATTGTATATCTTTAAATTTGACACAGTCTTGTATAAAAAGCTTTTTATTTTTTTATTTATGACACTAAGTGACGTATCGAACAAGCCGTGCGTCTGATGGTAAGCGCACGCCTGTCCTAAACAGTTGCAGTGCCACTCAGAGCTTTAAAACACAAAGATCTGAGGGGCACTGCCAGTGCTTCCGTCACCCTGAGACATACGTTAATAAGGCTCATGCTCCTGTAATTTCACCAGCGCCATTACCTTTCAAATCCGGAACTCAGTTAATGCTCACCTTACTGCTTGGAGACAGAAATAGGTAAGGTGGCAGTACTACCCTGGAGGAACTAATTTACAAGGAGCTCTACTGCTACAAAAAGATTGTCGAAAGACTTGATTTTCTTCAATTACAGACATACTGCGTAAACAGCAATGTAGCCGATTCAGCCTGCAGCGGCACAGCATATCTCTCGGGTGTAAAGGCGAACATCGGGACTGTGGGCCTCAGTGCGGCTGTTCAACATGGAGACTGTAAGAGCCAGAAGGACGGCCTGCATTCTGTCACAGGACTTATGGACTGGGCTCAAAAAGCAGCTAAGGCCACTGGTAAGTTAGAGTGTCTTTTAAATTAACATGGACCATTTTTAGAGGCATAAGACGTGCGTTAAACTAATTCCGCGTAAGAAAAAGTCGACAGAAATTCTTTATCAGCTAACCACGAACCCAATTCAAACAGATGTGCATTCCAATTGGAATTGGAATTGCTCAGACTTATTTCAGTATTTCGAATCAGTAGAACTAAGGCCGTAGACCGAATAATGGAGCTCAAGCAGAGCTCAAATACGATATCAATCGTCTGCTTCTTACACATTCACCGATTTTGTCTGGTAACACAAAAAAGACGACATTGTTTAGTAGGAGGACCGTTACTAGAACGCTCAAAGCTCGAACATCGTAAATGTAACTAAGGACATGTCGTGTATACACTATCATAAACAACTCTCATACTCGACTCCGTCTTTACTTGTTGCATCATATTTTCAAGAATGAAAGTTAGTTTAGTTGCAGTAAAGCTCCTTGTGAAAGAGTACGTCCAGGGTACAACTGTCACCTTACCTATTTCTGCCGCCAAGCAGTAATGTCAGCATTACTATGTTCCGGTTTTGAAGGGTAATAAGGGTGCTGGTGAAATTACAGGCACATGGGACTTGTCAACTTATGTCTCAAGGTGACGGACGCAGTGGCTGTGCCTCTCAGATCTTTGCAATTTAAAGCTCTGAGTGGCACTGTAATTGTTATTGACAGACGTGTATCTTACAATCAGTCCCGTCACTTGATATTACAAAAAAAATAGTCAGCCACGAACCCAGTCCACCTAGGAGAGCGCTCCAATTGGAAACCCTAACCCAACTTATAGACTACACATTTCAACTACAGGTTTAGTAACAACAACGAGAGTAACTCATGCGACGCCCGCAGCTGCGTACGCACACTCGGCAGACCGGAAATGGGAAGCCGATGTCGATTTAAAGGATACTCAGTGCGACGATATTGCCAAGCAGTTGGTGAGAGGGCGCGTTGGTAGCAATATTGATGTAAGTGATTAAAAGTTTGAAAGACAAGGTCACATTATCCACCATGAATATGAATATGAAAGTCGGGCCAAGTTCAGGACATGGACCAAGCGAAATTTGAAACTTACTTGTAGGAATATGTTACAATAGTTAGAGTTAAAACAACAGTGTTTTTTTGCTATATTTGTAACCAATGAACACATCTAAATGAAGCACCTGATCAATTGAATTAAATAAAATTTTCCTATTTTTGCTTTCAGATCGTTCTTGGTGGTGGTAGAAACAACTTTCTACCTACAAAATACAAAGACGATCAAGGCTATGCTGGTCGTAGAAAAGACGGCGCAAATCTCATCGAAGAATGGATCAAAGCAAAGAATTCTTTAAAAAAATCCCCACTTTTTGTCTACAACAAAAAACAATTATTAGAAATTGATGACAAAAAATACAATAGTGTACTAGGACTATTTTCAGCCGATCACATGCCGTATCATTTGGACTCCCCTGATGATTATCCTACGTTAACCGAAATGACGACCAAAGCAATAAAGATGCTGTCGTCGAATGACAACGGATTCTTTTTGTTCGTTGAAGGTAAGATGGGTTCTGTTATTTGCATATCGCCTTTTGTTCGAGAGATGGATGGTTCGAAACTATTTTTGAGATCGACTGTACATTAATTGTAAAAAAGCTGTCGGGCTCTCACTGAGTGCCTGTTTGCACGAACCATTTTAAGCATATTTCCATGAAATTTATCCTTGTAGAGCTAGTGATTTAAAATTCATACCATTAAGTTAAGGATATGTAAGCTGTTGTAAACGATTAAATTTTTAACTTAATACAGTAAAAAGATAACAATTATGACCTTTCAAAGATGACTCATTTTTATACTGACCGACTATAAACACTTGTCAATACATACAGGTAATTGAAGTAATTGGGTATAGTTCTACATATTTGCGGAAGTTACACGTAAAATTGTATGCCTGTACAAATGTATTAAAAAAAATCTCCTCTTAACAGACTTGAAAAAGGAAGAGGTTCTCAACTCAACTTATTTTTTGTAAGTTACGCTATTATTCCGACATTTGTGAACTGATTTTGATGATTATTTTATGCTGGAAAGAGGGTACTTCAGTATTGGTTTCACTTGAATTTGAAGAAAATATTCCACCTCTAAAGATGGCACACTAGAGGATGAATGGTTTCGCGCACCTTCCGGTAACCCAATTAGTAAAACTTGACGAATAGATGTAATTCCACGAAATTTTGAGGTCGGTTTTTTGTAAAAATGTAAATTTTCCTAAAGGTGGTTGAAAATAATTATTATGCCTTTTTTGAGGATATTTTTTATCCCTTTATTTCAAAATTGTTATGCTTTCGTACTATGTATAATGGACGAATGTTATTTTGTGAAATTATTTTATTTTCAGGAGGTAAAATAGATATGGCCCATCACGAGACTAAAGCTAGAAAAGCATTAGATGAGACAGCTGAGTTTGCAAAGGCAGTAGAAGCCGCTTTAAAAATGGTAGATCCACTTAACACTCTGATTGTAGTTACATCAGATCACAGTCATACTATGACGTATAGTGGCTATAATAAGCGGGGATCAGATATACTTGGATTATCCAGGGTAAGAATTGATTTTGACACTAATAGCTTTCGTATACATTATGTTCAAAGGTGTTACTTAGCTATGACTATGAATCAATGACGTTAGTGACGGTTAGTGACGAAAGTTATGAGGTGGCATGAAAGATAACACGATGATTTTTATTTCGGGTTATCATTGGGTTCTACGAGTTATGAAATTTTATAACTATATTTTTTGTTTTATAAAACTTGATGCGACAGATCATGGATAAAGTAAGTACAAAAAAGTAAATAAGCAAAAGCAAGTATAAAAGCAAACTAGTTTTTATATCATTACTATATATTATATAGATCTATCACAATACATACTTTTCAAACTTAAACTGTAATCTACTCTCAACAATATTTTGTATTCTTCCTAGATGAATATAACAAAATACACACATCAAAAGTATTTAGGGATCAAGCACGTTATTGCCAGATTTTTTAAATTATTCTTTTTTTACATCGATGGATTTTTTAGTCACTTTTACAACTTGAATTTGAAAATTAAATTGACCAAAGAACCTGATTTTCGTGCTTGATCCCCAAACTTTGGTGTATGCAGCTAGGAAATATAAGTAATATTTAACATGATTATAATCATGATTTAAAAAAGAAGTCTCGGTAATTAAACATGTTTGGTTTCGTGGACTGAACTTGCCTCAAAAACTGATTCCGCAAATTTTGTTGACGATCGTAGTTTTGAGTTTGGTTGTCTATTTAGTGAATAGAACAAAGTGATACATTGTAATCTCTAGTGAGATATACTCTGCATGCGATTGGTCCGCTGTCATGTCTACACCATCTTGCCTTTTAGTATGGACGATTGAACCTTGATCTTAACATAACTATACAGGCGTATGCTTGGCATGTCTTGTGTCGTCTGGTGTGTCGTCTGGGTCGAATGGGGAAAACGCAGTAAATACCCACAACCGTAAAAAAGGAAGTTGCAGTATTTTGGACACGTAATGAGGGGAAATATATACCGGATCCTTCAACTAATAATGCCGGGGAAAATCCAAGAAAAACGTAGTCGTGGCAATAGGAAAACCTCCTTGTTAAAGAATCTTAGAGATTGGTATAATCTTAACACATGTTCCGTCTTTCGTATGGTATCAAAAACAAGGATATTCGTGACTGTCGCCAACCTTGAGAAGTTGCAACAGAAGAAGAAGTGAAATATACAAAATCCTTACTACCTGAGATATATTCTATTGTATCTATTTATTGATCTTAAATAGCGAAAAGCAATTCTTCTTGAGTTCGACCTTGCTTACAAGAGAGCGTGACTATTATTGTTTCAGAGTAATGGAACAGATAAACTGCCGTACACAACTCTGAGCTACGCGAACGGACCTGGTTATAAGATACCTAACAATTCTCAAAGACATAACCTTCTTCTGGATAATTTAAGTAAGTTTTTGTCGAATGTTAAAAGATATATCGATTGTAATAGTGAACTTAAGGAACTATTAGGCTAAGATTTTAAAAACGAATTATGACTTTAACTGCTTAGTTAAACATGGAGAACTGAGCAAGCTTTTCGTATTTACGAAACTTAGGCAAAATAAGTTTAAGCAAGAAATTAAATTAAAGTTTGAATCTACTCGTTAGCAGAGTTCGTTTTATAAATACGAAAAAGTTGCTTAGGTAACCATTTTTTCTTAGTCGAAATCAAAGTTCGTTTTTTGAACCAAGACTCATCTACACCTTTGTAGAGGGTATTTCAGTGCATTGCCCTTACTTATTTGTCTCTGTACCTACTCAGTCTTAGTATATATAGTCAACGCCATACGTATGAGAATTATTTCGAAATAGCATCAATAGATGTCGCTCTTTTGTGTATAATTACTTATTATACACTGTAAAAATTTTTTTTTTATCAACATATAGAAGTTTAAGAGAGTGAGTGTGTAAGTGTCTAATTGTTAAAGTACACTGAATTTATATTAAATAACTAATAATATAATGCTTTGTTACTTTGCATAAACTAAACATAGGACAAATAAACACATTAGAAACAAACGCAACAGGCAGCTCAAATGCTGCCAGGTAAGCTAAAAAACAACAAGTTACAATCAAAGAACAAAAACGTTCATTGGGACATATAAAGGTCCACAACGCGTTGTGGTCTCTTCAAAATATCTTTATCACATCGACGCTGGAATGGTAAAACGTCTAAGTGCATTTGGAAATTATTACAGGCGTTAAATCATAAGTCTAATTTCATTTCTTATATGGAAAATAAAACTAGAAAGTTTCAGCTTTTCCATTATAACAAATAATTAGTTTAAAACGCTCTTCTGTAATATTTTCCAAATGTACGTTAAAAGTTTTGCCTTTCCGGCATCGACATTATTCTTATTAAAATAGCCAAAACATGTTGTGACTACCCGAAAAAGAGACCACATAAGATTCGCATAGTGGCTTAGATGCAATTTGACTGCTACGCGTTGCGGTTATTAAAAACAAAACAATAAACTGAAAAAGATCACATTTTTTCAGTTAATCACAACGCGTTCTAATTATTTTTAAAAGTGCCATCATAACGTGTGGACATGTTAATGAGACCACAACGCGTTGTGGGCGTTTTTTCGCTCGATGAGCGTTTTCATTTTTTGAGAATAACAGATATTACAACAAAGTTTGTTTATAAAAAAAGATAATATGCATAACTTGTATTCAGAAATATTATTTTTGTTACACCTTACTCAGTCGGTTATCTTCAAGTTATTTGTGTATTTACAAAGTAAGAAAGAAATGAGTAATTTTCAGGTTAGTTTCCTCTACTTGATTTCGATGGTAATGTTTTTATTTAAATATTGTGGAATATTGCCATGAAGTATTATTTAATATTCGTGTGTGGTGCCCTGAAATATTATTTAGTATTTCACGATATTACACTAAATTACTTAAATAATTTGAAAAATTAATCTGAAAATTATATCACATATGTCTTTTGAGATTATCGCAGTAACGATCCTCAACAATTTTCTGTCTCCAATATTACATACCAATAATTATATATAATAGTAATTTTTCTCTTGCAGAACATGTAAACTACACGTATCCTTCTCTCGTGCCGTTATATCGTGAGACTCATGGAGGAGAAGACGTGGCTGTTTTCGCAAAGGGACCATGGTCGCACCTGTTCTCTGGCAACTATGAACAGAATTTCATTCCCCATGCTATTGCGTATGCTGCGTGTATAGGACCTGGGTTGACCTTATGTAATTCGGACTTTACAACTTGAAATGTGGAATGAAAACTAATCATTTACATTACTATAACAAGTAGTGTAATTACAATGAAGTAATCTCCATGAACGTTTGTTGTATTGTTATAAATACATTCGCATTAAATTACATGGAACTAGTGGGAATAAATATGATATTTAAGGGCTACAATAGTTTCACGTCGAACTGAGTACCTGGAATCCTGGGAATAAAGGAACGTTTCGTCCTCTCCTGACTTCTGGCGTAACTAGTTTTAAGGAAATTTTTCAAGTAAACTCGTTATATCACAATGTAAATTTTTTCATTGCTAAGTGATGGGACAACAAGTCGTGCGCCTGATGGTAGCGACGCGCCTGTCCATAGCAGTTGCAGTGCTACTCAGAGCTTTAAAGCGCAAGGATTTGAGGTGCTCTACCTCCAGAGGCTGATGTGGATGCAGGTGAACTTATGTCTCAGGGTGATGGACGCAGGCATTTATTTCAAGCCACAGGACCCATATAATATACCAGGACTAACATACATACAATTTAATATGAGAATAAAATGAACTAAATAACTAATCTACACGACTTGTCGGCGACGTGTGGCGCAATCTGGTGTCAAGTAACCGGCTGCGGAATCGCCGATATATGACACCCTTCGGCCAAAACTATTCCTTCATGAAGGCCGACAGATGTCGGCACTCTCGTCACAAACGAATAAAATTCGCTCGACCTTGTATTTTAGCCTGATGTACTCCACTATCTCCTCAGACTTCGTGGAGTAATGTAGTCGCGACAGGTACAGTAGCGTCTTCGGTATGACCGGACGGAGCAAAAATTCGATCCTCGGTGTTGTGCCACACAGGTTACGGCAGCTTCCTCTTCACCAACGTTGTGAAGCCGTCCTCGTCGCGTTGATCCGTCTGCATATGTTGTTTTGCAACTTCAAAGACAGGCACACGGGGATTACTTTTACTCTTATTCTCTCGGTTTCGAAGTGGCGGGTCGGCTGGTAGAAGCAGCTACAGCGGAGTAAGCACGTGCAGTGGCTGACAAACATAAGCGTGACGTTTCCACCGGGGTGGAGGAGAAGGCAGCTGGACGCAGCGCATCAGCGGCATTTGTGCCGACTCGACACTGCTGATGTATGCATTTTGCGCCCCACGAACTGACTGAAACAGGGTTGCTTAATAACGCAACTTGGACACGCAGCTCACTTATGATGTTATGTGAAGCCTCCAATCTACACTGTAACTCGGCCAGTCTTGACTTCAAGGAAGTGATATGCTTCAGCAGCCTGGTAACATTTACGTGGTTGAACGTGACAGCTTGCGTTGCTCCTTCACCACGAATGTAGGCACGTCGTCCGGGTCAATCTCCTTCAGGAGTGTAATAAATAATATTCTGGAGACTCTTCACGCCTTCGTCCCTCCGGCGAGAGCCATCTCGCTGAAGATGCTAATCTTCTCAGGCTCTAGAACAACAGCATCTTGCCATTGCAAATCTCATCCTCGTTGAAGTTGGATTTGCAGATCTGCACGATGCTGACTTCGGCCATGGTATCGATGGCGTGTTGGATAAACGCCAAAAGCTCATTGACTTGATTGTTGTTGGGAACCCATTGCCATTTACGCGCAGCGTCCTATGCCGCGCGAATTATTTATTATAAATAATTCGAGTTATTTATAATAAATAATACCATACCAGTGAATAGCGACATCTCTAGCCGGGCCTGGTAGCTGTAAAGGTATCTAACTGGATGACGAAATACTTTCATAGATTTCTCATAGATGGCGCTATGCTAGAAGACATCGGTTCGAATCCGGCCGGAACGAAGGCTTTCTTTTGAGTGTTCGATCTTTGTATTAATAATTATAACTATTTAGTAATTTCAATAAATATGACTCTAAATAATATGTGCCACGTTTTTATTGCAGGTGACATAGCTCATACAAAGATATTGCCCTTATGACAAACGAATTTGCACACGAATTTACTCTGTATACGTATCGACGGCATAAGTCTTTTTTTAACAAAAATACACGTTATATAGGTAGACATAGTAACTGAATTATAAATCGCATTATATCACAAATTATTATAGAGACAATAAACGTAGAAAGTCGGCTTCCTACAGGAAACGGGGAAGACAATTTTAGCTTCCCCTTCAAAAGGTTTTCCACCCTTAAATCAAATTGAAAGTGAATGGACCATTTATAAGGATGTAACAATAGGACTGTAAAAACATACACTCACACAATAGTCCAATAAAATCTATGTTGGATTGAGCTTTTAGCCACGAACTAACATTATCTTAGAATTTTCGCTTTACATTTCGTATAAATCTATAATTGTTACTATAGAAAGGTGTAGCCACACGATCTGCATTGTAAGAACGATGTCACTCGGCATTGCGTCTGTCGTCAATGTAATTTATATGTAATGCAGCGTCACCTGCACCTGCCTGAACAGGCATCGCATCGCCCCGACGTAACGCATCGTGTGGCATCTTTGTAAATGGAAACAAGGTAGAGAGTCGTCATTAATTTTGCAGTTGCGACTCAGTTTATATGCAATCGTGCTGACTTCTAGTTTCGACTATTTCAAGTGCTATTTTGTAACGTGAAAACAGCAGTGGGGTATTTATACACTCCTGCCCCCGTAGCATGGCAACGCGTGATAGTCGCGACACGCGCGATAAAATTGAAATAAGCGCGCGCTATTGGCTATTTAAATTAGATCTAGCGATTGTTACACATAGGAAACGAGAATATTTTTCCGGATTTAAATCACGTACTTATATTTGTTTTTTCAAACAAACCAACGTTTCGGGCCCTTTACAGGTCATCGTCACGGTTGACTGAGGTGGCACAGTCATCAACCAGTTATGTCTAATATTAATGTAAACCACCCTATTTCTTCACTGTAGTTACAAAAATTATTAATTAAATATCTTATTTTTAGTTTTACAAAGAAACATTCCAATTTACACCACATTATGTGTTACAAATTATTTTATTTTAACAATATGAATTTTTATTAAGTTGAATTAATAACTGTGCAACGCGACTGCACTGCGAAATTATGCGAATGTGTGTGTGTGTGGGCGCAGCATGCACACATACAAACCGCGTTGCTACATGCGTATGGAGTTACCCTACTTGTTTTATAATACTATGCTTTAATAATTTCAACTGAATACAAGGTACTCAAATAACGTCTTCTGGAATGTATGAGCACTAAATTATGCCCACTATTTTATTGTACTGGTATGAACAAATGACACTAAAAGACGTTTATTATGTATTTTAGGAAATGAAATTAATCATTGTAAAGGGTTATTGTATTAAAGTGTAAACGTTCCTGTGTATATATATTTATATTAAGTATGCAAAATTGTTCATCTTTTTAGTGTGCTGTTAATTAATTTTCGGTAAGTACATAATTAGGGACACTAATATTCTTTTTATTTTCTGACACGAAAAAAGCAGTAGTGTCAATAACGTTTCGATTCGTTTTTTTTTTCTGCAATTGAAATAGGTTCTAGTAATAGTTGACTCTAAAACTGAACTTCGACAACATGTTACATCGACATGATTTTACTCAGACATTACGTTACTTCGACATTATTTTACTCACACACTACGCTACTCCGACATCATGTTACATCGACATGATTTTACTCATACACTACGCTACATCGACAACACAGACGAGGTGTTGACGATGATTTTGTTTTTTTTTGTTATATTGATCGATATATATAATAAGAAACCATTTCCTAGATGGGTTTGGTTTGATAATGATTATTTTTCTTATCAGAGTATAAAGATTTCTTTTAATAAACACCTCGTCTGTGTTGTCGATGTAGCGTAGTGTCTGAGTAAAATCATGTCGATGTAACATGATGTCGGAGAAGCGTAGTGTCTGAGTAAAATAATGTCGAAGTAACGTATTGTCGGAGTAACGTAATGTTTGAGTAATATCATGTCGATGTAACATGTTGTCGGAGTCGCGTGTGTCGAAGTTCAGTATTAGAGTGGTAAAAGTTATTTGGTTGCTGTGTTATCGAAGAAATGTCACTTAGCACTTAGTAAATCTATTTTATTATAATTTGTAGTTAATCTCAAAAGCAATCAAGATTTTGAAGTCAGAATTAGATCGACAATGAATAGAAATCGCTTGGAACGTGCGTTTTATTGAGTGTTCAGTTCCATTATATACCATGTAAGGTCCATTGCATCTGAATATATTCGTCACATTCTGTTTTCATCATCATCATCATCAGCGTATAGTAGTCCACTGCTGGACATATGCCTCTCCCAACGTGTGACATATCGCCCGGTCCTCAGCTTGTCGCAACCAGCTGGCTGCTGCCAGCAGCCTTTCGCAGATCATCACTCAAGAACTCGCTTCCCTCACCGGTTATCGGTTCTTCGACAGATACGGCTGGTCCACTATCACTTCAGCTTGCTTATCTTCCAGTTATGTCGATGACCTTGGTTCTCTGTCCGATAACCTCATTTCGTATCTTGACCTCCGGAAAAACTCCGAAAATTCCTCGTTTCATATTCCATTGTTTTGTGTCATATTAATTACCTGCTAAAATATTTCTTAGTCCTATGAAAAGGAAGCACGAGAAAAAATTTGTCTAAAATTGCACGAAACAAAATCTGAAACTATTTGCATGGTGGGAAGCCAGGAAAAGTATAGTTACATATGTAAAGAAAATTTAATGGTTGAGCAACATTTCTAGGACATCTTAAATAAAAAATCCTAACCTATTACTGCCGCAATTATTGCATTCCGGTTTCGAAGGGCAAGGGTGCTGGTGAAATTACAGGCACATGGGATGACGACTTATGTCTCTGAGTCGTCACCCAGTCGCGCAGTGGCAGTGCCCCTGAAATCTTTGAAATCTTTCCCGTCACTTTTTTATCATAAAAAATGTCTACAACGTTTTGCGAGAAGAATGAATGCTAGTCCACCTGTTACAATTGTTTTCTATGTTTAATTTATTTGTCTTCTATATTATGTTTTTTTGTTTTATATTTAACTGCCTCTGTGGCCGAACTGTTACCATGCTGGACTGCCACGCAGAAGTCCCGAGCTCGATCCCCGGATCGGGAGAAATATTTGGATAGCACAATATAGATAGATAGATAAAAACTTTATTCACTTCCATGACAGCTTATTTACTACGATCCACTAAATCTAACACCATAATAATTATTAT